TTGTATCATCCGGATTTATTGACTCCATAACTAGCTTACTGAGCGAATCCGAATTCATTTCGAGACGTGGAGACTGTTCAAACTGAGTATGTTGGAATCTATCAAGGTTTTTGGCTCGCAATAAAGCTAGGGTCCTGATCGAGCAACTAGTAGTCCTATCTATCCACCTCTCCAGACACAATATCTTGAGTACCTATGATGGTGACCACATCTGCTGGCATGTGATGTTTGGACATAGAATCGAGTCCTTGTGAATGGGCAGAGCCAGGTGCTCTTATTTTACGACGGTAGGGACGATTGCTTCCATTACTGACCAGAAAGACACCAAATTCTCCTTTAGGTGCTTCAACTGCGGTATAGGTAGAAGAAGCTGGTACGGAAAAACCTTCTGTATAAAGTTCGAAATGGTGAATTGAGGTAGAGTAGACTGATGATCCTGTAGTCATTTGGCCGGGAAAGAAAAAGCTTGCATCTGCTTCCCCTATTATATAACCGGTCCCATCTCTCTCCAAACCTAACGTGGTAGTTTCCCATCATAGGGCTTTCTATCTATAGATTAAGCCATTACCAAGGAGCTAATTCGTTCAGAACTCAGTTTACTGCTTCTATAGATAAGGCGGAGCGTCCTTGGCTCAGCATTATAGCACGCACATAGGGCTTCGGCGCTAGCTCAATCCGTTGCTTGTTCGCTTTCTCAGTAGCAAAAGCGCTTCTCTTTGCCCCATTTCTAAATAGTTTCTTTAGACAAGAAATATATTATTTTTTTATTGCTCCCGCTTCCTCATCTGTGCTCATCAAGCCAACTTTGCTCTTTGGGGGGTGAAACAGCGGTTGAAGCGGACATTTCGAAATGACAGCATCGAATATATATGTATATATATACACGGTTACGGTTATCTCGGACTGCGTTCTGGAAAAAGCATCCTACTTGTGGGGCACTGTGTACTTACAGCCTATACGATAAGCAAGTGAATGGGGCCGGGTTCATCAAACCATTTTTCGCCCTAAATAGGGGTAATTTGTTCGCACCTGACTGTGATAGCCCTCTCGATACCTTATTGTAGCTTTGTAACTAGTGCCGTCGCTAGAGCGTTTTCCCAGTGCGCGGAGCCCCAACGAGGAAGGTGTTAGTGGTTTATCATTGGGTCAATAATGCTAATCCCTCTTTTTGTGCTACTCCTAGGGCGGGAAGAAGATAAGAAAACGCCAAGTGTTCTCTTGCTTTCCCAACCTGTTGTTTCTAAAGACTGCCCTCTCTCGGCTGGATCTTGGTCCAGCCTACTACGAGAATCCCGTATCCAGCAACCCAACCTATACAAAGGGCATCAAAGCCCCTTTACTAGGTTGGAGCTATAAAGCTTACCGCCCCGTGGGTTATTATTATGAATAAGGGAAAGGGCTTTTTCAGCTGGTGCGCAGGAGCGCACTTCCGTTTTCCCTTTACTAGTAGGGGGTCCCGTGGTTCCTATGCCGCCGCGTTTCCCGGTCCTTTTCTTTTAGTGCTTCGACCCGAAGCGATAGCTTCTAGCTAGTTCAGTGGATAAGATGGCTGCGCTCCAGCTCACTCAAGAATGGGACGGCAGTGGTCCGCCGGCAAGCTCGTTCTGATCTTGGGCGCAGTACATTGGAATCCTGAAGCACCACCACGAACGCTACCGCGCGTCCGCCTGCGGTGCGGTAAGGCACCACCCTGTTGTGCCAGCAGCCAATTCCGGCGTGTCAGCTTAGTTATCCTCATCAAGCCACTTACTTGATGTCTAGCTTCCCAACTGGTAGACGGTTCCTTTTCCCCCAGATCGATGAAGAAGGGAGACGTCAGTTGATTATTCCGAAGAACCGGAAGCGAAACGCTATGCCGGGGCGGGGGGACGGGAAAAGAAACGGCTCCGAAGAAATCAATTGGGGTTCCCAATGCTTCTCCACGCTTAACGAGATGCGCCAACCTCGGGATGCTTTACTCCTAACCCCACAAGGTTCCGAGACGGAGCTTAACCTGAGTCTCGGTTAAGAACGGCGATGATCTACGTTTCACACGGCGCACGATTCCATGGATAGTTTCATTCGAGATCGTGATGGAGGACACAGCTTACGATCATCGGATTTGATCATGCCACTAGGCATTTGATTAAGACATTGCACAATGATCCGAACACTTTGTCGCATCTCTTCGATACGAATACAGTAACGATCATAGCGATCTCCTCTGGTACCTACTGGTACGTCAGGATCCAATTGGTCATGAACATCGTAAGGTGCTGCTTTTCGCAAATCCCAGCATACCCCTGAACCTCTTAACATTACACCACTGAATCCCCAATCCTTTGCTTGCTGTGCAGTGACAGTACCAATATCCACTAATCGTTGTTTCCAGATACGGTTGCCGGTTGACATCTCTTCTAATTCGTCGATACGAGAAGCAAATTGTTGTGTGAAGGAATCAATATCTCTACATAAGCCAAGAGGAAGATCTTGTGCCACTCCACCTGGTCGTATGAAACTGGCATGCATCCTGGCTCCCGAGACTCTTTCATAGAATTCCAACAATTTCTCCCGCTCCTCAAAAGCCCACAGGAACGGAGTTGATGCTCCCACATCCATAGCATGAGTAGTTAAAGCAAGTGAATGATTTGAAATTCGAGTTATTTCACGGAATAACACTCGTATATATTGAGCTCGTAATGGTACCTCGCAATTCAAAAGTCTCTCTACGGCTGAAGAATGAGCGTGTTCTTGGGCCATCATAGAAACATAGATAGGGTCGACGACGGAACGAACAACGAAACTTTACGACAGCTTTTTCGTACACGTTCACTTGCATCACATACACAAGTGCTCTCTGAACCGTGCAATAAGGTCACCCATAACACGGCTCTCCCACTTGAGTTATCTTAGCCCCAGGCCATGCTATTCAATAATCTAGGAAAAAAGGGTAACAACTAGTATTGAAAGCTGGTCGCCTTTGGAATATGAGTAGGGCTCCGGACGTGGCGCGTTCGTGGAGGCAAACCGAATAAAGAGCAAAAGGAAGGTTGGGTGCTTGTGGGGCGAGGCCATCCGGCCTCGAATAGGAGGGGGCTTAGCTCTGGATCCTCCCTGCTTGCAGAAATGAATGGATCAGAAGGGGGCTTGGTTCTCTATTTCCGGGCCGGGCGGGAGGTGAAGGCCATAAGAGAAGATTGCCCTCCCGGTAAGGAAGAGGGGAAAAAGGTGCTGTCATCTATCTCGACCAGTTTCCCGAGGCCTTGGAAATCCAGACCGGCTCAGAGAATCACTTGCACTATTTGGCCCTTCGTTTCGCCAACAATTAATCCTTTACGATTTCCCATTCCTTCCCTGCCGAGCCGCCTCTCTTCGCCATTCGATGCTTCCGCCTTCCCTTTCTATAACATACCCAGGCGCCCTCCTTTCCCATCACTAATAAAAAAAGAAATACCAATAAAAGGGTTGGTGTGGCTAAGTAAAGCTTCGTCTATGATTTCCAGGGGAGTTGACTTGACCCATTCCCCAGTCTCCCGCACTGCTAAAGTCAGTGTGCGACTCCGAATGAGGACCTCTTTCTCTTCTGCCCACTCTCCGTTCACACGGTTCTCAAAGCAGAGGAGGAAGGGTGGGCAGCAGGTACCACGAGCCCTCTGTCCCACACATCTATCCAGAAGCAAGTGTAGTTCACCGGTTCCACCGAATGCTCCTATCTCTCGGCAAAGATCGTTTGAGTGTGCAGTTATGCTTCGGATGCTTCGCCATAGAATAGATCGACCCAGTTCCCGTTCTTTTCCGGTGCACTCGCTTTATATCTCCGACACACAAGGAAGGACGCGGTGGGAAGGAAGCAGCCCTAGCCTCTGTCCGGCCGATCATTCCGCTGGCATCTCGCATTCACGCCCCCGTTTGACTGCCGCTCGGGGATGTAGTTGTAGATAGGTTAGTCTTAGTGGGTCGTTGGCTCCACTTGTTATCTCCTTCTACGACATGCTGTTGTCGTCGCCATATTCCATATGTCACTTAGTCATCTCTGCCTCGCTGCGGGTCAGCACCTCCGAAAGAAACGGAGGACTTCATTCAGTGACCCCGCGATCGCCCTCTGAACGATCAGAATAAGGTAAAGCTTGAAGATAAGTTTTGTACTCTATTAATTTCTCAGTCCCTCTAGTCGGGTGGGTGCTGGCCGGTTTTTCGACCAGATCCCCCTTAAAACCGTACGTGCGGGTCTCCCCGCATGCGGCTCACGCCATTCGAGGTGGCCCAGCCCAGCATTCATTCGCAAATCCTGTAGTGAAATTTAGACTGCTCAACCTCGGAAGCTAATTCGCGTGTAGGCAGCGCTGTCTGTCGTACCGTTGACTCTATCTATTCATTGAATTTGCTTTATTGCATTTCGCGAGCTCTTTTTCCAAGAATTTTCCACTCCCCGTCGAATGACCCGGCCTCCCCTGGCTCTTCCACCGTCCGGGCTCCCTTTCCTCCCTATGCTATGCTCCCCCGGCGCAGGCCTACCACGCTTCGCGCCTGCGGCGTTTTCGCCAGACGGTCTTTGCCAGTAGTGCCATCCTCCCCGCTGGCTGTATGGGCGGGTTGTCCCTCGCTGCTGCATTCTGTTAGGCTATGGATTACAGGAACAAATGTAGTTGAATGGAACAGCAGGCGGGTTACACGTTCCACTGTGCCGAGATGTGAGGTGCAGGTGGTGATGATCACCCCGGGGTATGCGTTAGCGCCCTTGACAGGCACTCCAGAACCCGCCAACGCTCGTGAAACCCCGGGTCCGGTCGGTCCTCCATTCATCCGACCGGGGTTATGGATAACGAGGCCACCTTCACAACCTTCTCCCTTCTGTCCCTATGCTGTAATAAGGTAAGGCGGTTCGCTTGAGTTGCTCAACCGCCCCTTAGCCCGGTGCTCATGACGCGCTACGGAACCTCCACCGTGCCGGGGGACCAAGCAGGGCATAGCTAGCGGCATAGGAGCCGACTCGGCATCAGCGGCTTCGTGCCGCACTGGAGTGATCCAATATGTGGTTCCGCACGTTCCACCACTTCTCCGTTCATTTCCAATACTGATCGTGAAACACCATGAGCAGCAGGATGTTGAGGTCCGAAATTCGAAGTGAAATTTTTGATTTGCCTGTTCCTAATCGTCATGGGAAAGAAAGGCATAAATAAGAAATATATTATTCCCTGAGAGCTTGTCCAATACCACCAGTACCAGAAATGCATCTCCTTCGCCCGCGCGAGAGACTTCTATGCCAGCCGGGAATCACGGCTCTGTTATGAAATAAAGCGGCAGACAGACTACCTGCCAAAAAAAAGGTAGTCTTTTATCCCAAAGCAAAAGAGAGAGCGTCTAGCGGTCTTATGAATCAATCAAACCAAAAAGAAGTTTTTGGACTATTCCCTAACAGGGTAAAATGTCCTTACATACGATATTACTTCTTACGTACTTTCTTTTTCTTTACTTACTTTATTACTTATGCAATTCTTGTTGGTCAACTGTCTCTTGATTTTCAATTCGCTGACCGCTGCCCCTTATCGCTGATGTGTGGTCTATTGCCTAAGAATGCCTAACCCCAATAAGCCAGCTTATCGAGGGAAGCTAGTCAGTCCGGTCTAATCATATAAAAAAAGTATTTGCCCAGTAGTGCTCAACAAGTAAATAAGAAGGTAGTCGAGGACTATCCTAAGTCTTACGCTTCATGATGGCATTTAGATGGCTCTGCTCTATAGCCAGAGTAGAGTAAGGGGGAAAGACTCAAGTACAGTGAAAAGAACATTGGAACTAGGGAATCCAGCTGCCATTTCGCTAGATACCAGAAAGATGGGGAGGAAAGTTCTATCCAGTTGTTGGCGCCGGCGCTAAAGCGAGGAAGGGGTGCGTCATCATTTAGTTAGCAACGGAAACTGGTTAAATTTACCTAAATACGCAGGTCTAAATAGAACACTAAAGGCTTATGCCTTCACGACGTAAGGAGCGAAAACAAAATACCCTTCGTCAGCCTTTCCATCGATAGAGACATCGCCCGACCAAATACAATGTCCCAAAACGATCTAGTCAGCCTGCAGGCAACTGCTATAGATGACGCGCCTACCATGACCAGTTCAAGAGGAAGGTCACAGTAAGGGGAGAGAACACCCGGACTGTCTACTCTTATGTGTGTGGCCATGGGCTTTCCCTTCATATCACAGCCGTAAAGTCTATAAGGATAAAGTATTGGCTAAGCACCTTTGGGCGGGCCCCCTCTTAGTTAAATTTCGCTCGAAAGAAATGTGAATCTGTCTTCCCTTCATTTTTAATTCACTTATCTTCTCTTCTTCTTCGATTCCTTTCCATTAATAAAGGAGGAAATACTAGATATAGACTAAATCGGAATGAAGAAGATATGAATGGAACCTAAAAACAACCAACCACCTATAGGACTGCGATAACGTCCATCCCTATGGAAATTTTCTCGAACTCGGAGTAGCTCTTTATATATTTTAGATTATGTGGCATTGAGGTCATGGAGCTTTCTTTCTAAGACATCCACTTTGACCCGGGGAGGCAGAAGGTAATCACGAATTAGTGTGTTTTCCCGTTTCCCCCATTCGATTCAAAATACGTCGCTTTAGATCAAGAATTCTATTGATTTCCTCATCGGAGACATTGCTCGCCCCTGGACCCTGTCGATACACAAAAAACCTATTCCTGATTACATATTTGACTGATTCCATATCAGGTTCCGCTGGCTGAATAGCCGGAAGCGGATTAGCAGCAGCAGCAAAACAAAAGACGGTTGAATCTTGGTAGTTGTGGTCGTGACAGGCACTCGGGCTGACAGCCATCTTAGTGAGGTAGTCTATTTCGTTGAAGTAGCGGGTCTCCCCCATCTGGTACTTCTCGTTCTAGTAAACGAAGGAACAATCTTTCTAGGAATAACCTTTTCTGTAGTTGGACTACCAGGATTATTCAATAGTAGTAGGTTCACCTCTAATACTAATAAGAAAAGGGCTTCCCCTTAGACCTTTAGACCTGACCAAGAGAAGTCACACCGGTAGCCCTCAGAAAGAAAGGTCCCTCGAGCTTTATTAGTAGTTACACGAGTGCTCAGATCAATACCGAAACACATATGGAGTGCCTGGCCTGGACCACAAAGAAAGAGCACAAGCAGGACTCCCTGCACCCGCGTGAGGGATGACTTTGAATCCATACCGAAGAGAATGGACGACTTGAAAAGGTCTCCATAGACAAAGAGACGATCTACACCGAAACAGAGAAAATACATTAGGAGCACTCATTCCTTGTACCCGGGGAACTTATGAATAAGGAAGGGGATCTACACCAGAAAAGGAGTTGACTCCCATATAGACACTTTCACTCACATTGCTTTAGGCAGTACTCTTCTTACTAAAGAAGAATACTTCCTTAAATAGGGAGCAAATCCGTCACTGGACGAGGAAGGAAAGGAAGATCTGTACAATAAAGTAGATTAGAAAGCGTTAACAAGACTATCAGACCAAGAACAGAACTGCTGGAGGAACAACTACCTAAGGCTTAAAATGACATAGAATAAGTGGAATCTCATGCAAACTGTGAGGGAGGTGGTTAACCGGTGCTTAGAGAACTACCTGGGATGCTTTACAAGCGATAGACCAAAATCAATTACATATTCTAAATGAATCTAATCCCATCCCCTACGGACAAGGGTGAATACCCGTAAGTGAGTTCGCGCAGGAGTTTCTTGCTCTGATTCTGTAGCGGGAGTTTCCTTGTGTTGTGGAGTTGTGTGGTAAGCTTTTCGGCTTCCATCCACTGGCGACCTCAAAGCATTATTTTAAGCGCATTCCTTGTCCTTTAGCCTTATAATCGTAATCGGCCTTAAAAAGAAAGTAATAAAGAGTTCAGGGCTTAGAAGATGCAAAGCTTTCATCCGCATTCCGTCTGTGTTATAAATAAAAGTCTTCCATTAGATAAGTTTCCATCTTCTTTTTCTTAAAGAATAGGAGCGAGACTTTCATAGTGAAGGGAGAGGCGAAGCCTAGTAACACAGCATCATGGTTTAGCCTAGCCCTTACAAGCAGTTCACCGCTTTCACATGGCAGAACCCATCACAGCACAGGGAGTCTGGCGCCCCTATACACTCATATCTCGACTTGACAACCAAAATTGCTTCAAAATGTCAATTTGTAGATCGATGGTGGGGATGAGCCCATGTGTACGCCTAACCTTCGGCCACCCCTAAATGGCACTAATAAGCACACAAGACACATAGGTCTAGGGATGCCTGTTTGACTAGGCGCGATAGAATACTCAACCAAGCATTCAGCTCGATGGATTACTCCCGCACCAGATAGTTCTCAGCCGCAAGGTTGCCGGCATGCCCCAATGATAAGGTACTCTCAAATCGAATATCTCGTGGCACCACATCTTTAGACAAAGGGCAGGTTTAGCTATAGCCCAGTCAACTGTTGGAGGCAAAGACAAAGAAAAAACGGAAAAGCCGAGTACACTGCATCTCCAGTGAACCATCCTACTAAGGTTTCACGAAGTAAACACATACGTTTCACAGCTAGGGACCATGTTCAGTCCATGCCAATAAACAACAGGAGCTCGCGGTCTATCAGCACTTTAAGGGCTACACAATGGAGATCGGATCGGCCTCGTATGGAGGGCTCCCCGAATACCTTTTCCTTTGGACCTAGCCTATCGATCAAAAATCCTACGCTAGCATGCCTACCGCACTACCGCCCCCACTCTCTACTATTGGTGGCTAATGGGTCCCTTCTCTCGCGTATCCTGTCTTTTCGGATCGGCACCTGGCCTCCCATTTCTTATGAGACGGCAAACGAATAACTTCTCTTTATCCGGGTATTGAATTGCGCGAAGAGTTTGAGGCCCGGTAAGGGGATAGCGGGTCAATGCCTTCTGCTCTTTCCGGTAAGTGAGTAGGGCCAGTCCCACACGATTAGCATAGATAAGACAAGTCAGGTAGGATTGGTCGGAGAAGGATGAAAAACCTTGTGTGAAGGAAAGGCTGTTTCAGTTGCTGTTTACGCGCTTCACTCACTAGGAGAAGAAGTCAGGAAAGTCCCTACTATACTTGTCTAAAAGACGAAAAGATGGATGAGCCACTCTCTCCATCCGACTCAGCTTAGCCTTTACCTGGGCACCTTGCCTTCTTTCCTTGCTTTGGTGCTAGCGTATATAAAGTAGTAGACCCCGGCTCCTTTTAGCTTTCTGTGGTATGGCTCTTATAACTCTTAGTAGCTGTTCTCTCCTTCCCTTTCCTTATTCCTTATCCTTAAGGAATTGGATATAGAACCGTTAGGAGTAGGAGCATTCGTTAACAGAGATGGATTGGCTTCGGTTGACCTTCTTACTATGGGAATGCTTGAAAAAGCTCTTATTCCAATAAGCTCGTGACTACTCTAAGAGGTAGCTGGGGACAAAAGGAATAAGTGCTCAAAGCGTTGATCAGCTGCTCTATTGGACTTATTTCCTTGGCGAGAAGGGTTAGCAGGGAAAGCAGCCTTGTTGTTGATTAAAGTAAAGGACCAGGGGTCTAGCGCTTTTGTTTTGTGGGAAGATACTTTAGTCATTGATATCCATATTCAAATACCTAATGATTTACAAGCCTGCGGTTCGCACCCTGCAGCCCCATTTTAGAAGTGCGTTTGAACAATACCTCTTGGTACTTATCCTTTAATAAAGGCTCGAGAGACCTACTTGCCACGTGGCAAGAGGCCATTAGCCAAAAAAACTGTGCTAAGATCTCAAAAGAAAGAAGAGTATTCGAATCCGGGTCCCCTATGATACTTGGCACGAAGCCATGGGTCCTAAGGGAGATTGGAAGAGAAATCCGATCCCCACTCTCTCAAATAAATACGAAGGCATAAAATGGTATATATAACCCTCACATATAGATGCGCACAGGTTTTTTTTACAAACGACTTCACACTTGGAGCTTTGAAGAGGCACTCAAGTGCTTGAAGGAGAAAAAAGAGAAGCCCATACTGTTGGAGTGCTAGGC